TGCTGTTTTCCTGAGAGGCAGCAGAGTGCAGTGTCAGATGTGGGTCCAAGTCTGGCTCCAACATATACTAACTTGGCTCTCTCTGGCCTCTCTGGATATGAGTTTAGGCCACTTAACCAGAGTCTCCAATTTCATAAAAGGAACTCAGTAGATTCCCTTCTTCCTCTCCCTTTCCCTCCTCATTTGACCAGTGGCACAATCTATGGGTTTTCCGTCAATTTGTTATAAGATTTATCATAACCTGTGAAAACTGGCTGCCATTTGGCACTGAAGTACACAAAGAACTAGATGCATTTTTAAAACCCCAAGAGGTTATTCGGAGACCTTAAATTAACAGATTAACAAAAGATTGACCAAATTTTTAAAATTCCATGGCTTTCTATGCAAATTTATTAAATTACATCTATTAAATACATTAATACATACAACATTTCATTCACAGAGATTGGAACTGACACAGTAGTGCCTGAAGACATGAGCTGTGTACCAGTGAAGTACATATCCAACAACATACAATATGCAATTTACCTTGGGATTATGACGTTTTAACATAAAACATAAAATCAATGAAAGCATATGGGGCTTATCACTAAAACCACATAAACACCTACATTTGTTCAATCTCTACACCCCTGAAACAAAAGAGGGGAAAGTTACATATTTTAATGACTTTAAGAATAAAATCATTTGATTAAATTCAGCTACTTTATTTACTTGAAACTGTGTGTCTCCTTCCTCGCGAGTATATGCACCAGGAGAGTGCGGCTTGCCTGTTGTGTTCCCTCTTGTTTTGGCTCTCTGACCTCTAGATACATTCTGTCAGGTGACAGATACTCAAAAATAACTGATTCATGAATGAAATAGAAAGACTGATGGGCTAGGAGTCAGGAGATATGAATTTTAGTCTCAACACTGCTACTAGCTACTGTCTGGTATTGGGCCATTTGTGTCATCTTTCGGAGCTTGGGTTTCTTCATCCTTAAATGATGTAACTTGGAGAGATAAACTCTACAGATCCCTTTCACTCTAAAATTCCATGACATTCTCTATTGGCCAAGATCTCAGAGTTACTTTGTGTTGGACATTCTCTGAACAAGTGGGAAATGGCATTCACTCCTAGCTCGGAAGCCACTGAACTCTTGACAAGGCCTCCCAGGTTCTTAACGATCAAATAGAACACACAGAAGTTAAGTAAAAAATGACATAATCACAGATTTGGAAAAGACCCCAGATATCCTTTGGCTCAATCCTTCATACTTCAATGAAGGAATGTCTTCTATAAAACCCTTGAGATAAGCCCTTTGCTAGAATATCTCCAGGGACTGAGAAATCACTGAGGACATTCTATTTTGGGGTGGAAAGTTTCTTTGAGTATCAACCCAGAAATAGTGACCCTTTAACTGCAACTCATTAGCCCTAGCTCCTTCCTCCAGGGAGACATGGAAGAAGTCTCCTCTCCCCTTCTACATCATCCCATAGGCATTTGATAAAACTTCTCATGTCTTCTTCCAATTTCTCATCCAGTTATTAAAATGAATACTATTTGCTAAGAGCAGAGGGTAATCGGATGAGCCTAGCATTATAATTCAGGAAGATGGTATCCTAGCTCTAGATCTGCCATTAACTCTTTGTGTGGCCCTGAGCAAGTAACTTTCATCTGAGCTGGTATGGTATATTCTTCTTAAAATGAGGTGATGAAAGGGATAGGAGCAAATATGTCTCAGAGCTCGGGAAATTGTAAATATGGTTGGAGTGGGGCAGGGCACAGATGTGAGTGTTCTAACCTATGCTCTCTCACCACCGGAGCAAAAGAATTCAGGAGTTAACAGTCCACTGAATTCTCATCAGGCCCAGCTGCCAATATGATGCAATAGCTGTTAATATCCAGGATAGTGATACACACTTAAAAAAAAATTGGCTAAAAACGACAAAACACTTCCAGGGTTCTGGGCCCTAAGAGAGCAAGAAATCTTGAGGCAAGAGACTTCTGCACATGTTTTGCAAGGTGCAGAATGTAAACCACCCTGTCCTGAAGGATTAATCCCTAATGTCATAATCATGGAAATACGATTGAGAAAGGACTTGGAAAATACCTTGTGAGAGAATGTTGGCAATGACCATGCCTCATGCACAGTGAGCTAGCTGAACTTTTATAACCCAGAGAGGTTATTGACGAACACCGAGGTGGAATTTCCTCTAGGTTGACATTGCTGAGATTGAAATGGAGCCAAGGGCTCTGACGTGCCCTGCTATTGAACCGAACCAGATATTTTTCAGCATACCCTTTCATATTGTATTGAACCTTAATTTAAAAATTTAGGAATTATAGTAGGTTAAGCAATTCTGTTCTATCAAGTGGGTCTAAACCATACTAGGGTCAAAATACTAGTGACATGTATTTTCATTATGGTTCCTGTATTTACCAAGAGACACAGGCTCTTCAGTGCACCTCTGGGTCATCCATAAAGTTCTAATATTATTTTCAAGAGTATTGCTGGCCAAACTTGAGTCCAGCAGATAATAACCTGTGTCCACATTTGGCTTAATAATGGATTCCACTATAGAAACAGTATCTTTATTTTCTCCTCTTTTATTTATAAAAAAACTATCCTTGGGTAGCTTTTTAAAAAGTCACTTAGAATAAATCATTTTGTTAATGATCATCCTTCATCAAATGGCACCCATTTTCATAGTGAGAAAATATCCATGTGCCTAAAGTTAGCTAATTAATTAGCTAACATAACTAAAGTAAATTAAAGAATCTGCAGACAATGGAGGTGCTGAGCAGTTAGAATAAACACATCTGAGACTAAAATAATTTATCTTTGTGTCCCCAGGTTGAGTAAGTACTCAGTAAATATTTGTGGAATTGATTTGAATTTGGCCTTTTGAGAGACATTGAACCAGTAAAGCATTTTCCCCTAAATTTACTATTTGCTAAAGCATGCTTTTGCTTCCCTTGCAAACCTTTGAATTCATTCCCTTTACTCCTTTTTAGAAGTCTACCACATGTTCTTAAAAAGCATTCTTCCACTTCATTTTAAGAACTAGAGCATGAATATTTGCCATGGAGATAATACCTAGGAAACAGAAGTTCTGACTTGAGTCCTACTAGGAATGTTTGACTAGGCCTTTCCAAACAGTAAAAGATGTGTTATAGAGAATTTAACAAATTCAGCAGTGAAAACTTGAGCACAATACATTCTTCAATAAACAAGCTTATGACAGGAGCAAAATAAATATGTGAGAGGATTTTCCAATGCTTCCAGTGTTTTAGGATAGTAGGAAATACCAGTTTCTTGAATAAACTTCCAAATCCACCAGATCGTCTATGGAACAGTTGGTAGACACTTGGCACAAAAGTCCTTTTAGTGGAGAAGATGGGCAGGCCACTCTGGCCTCTACTATGCAAATCCTTTCCCGTATCCCAAGTTGCTTGGTGCTCTCATGCAGATGCAGAAAGAGCATTTTATTTTCTTAATGAGTCATTAGTTATGATCATGGAGCCAGTCGAGGGTCACTGATAAAACATTGCTGATCTACCAATAAATATTCTTCTAGGAGTTGGTCAGTCCGTGGAGAAAACATTCTCTTCTCAAGCTGGTTTTGTAGTTACTGAGAAACCTTTCCTTTCTGCTTTAAGTAAAGGGTATTTCCTCCAACTGAGATGCCCTTTTCTGAGGCTGTCTCTTGCCCGCCCACCCTCTTTCAGAACTGGCTCAGGCTTCACTTCCTTCATGCAGACTCTTCTGAACCAGGTGGAGGAGACCACACCCTCCTCTGTGCTCCCACTGAGCGCTGTGCTTCCTGTTTGGAGAAGCTGAAGGCTTTAGAGGCTTAATCTCCAAACTGAGCAAATGGAAATTTTTATTTAATTCTAACAACAAATACTGATCACATACCGCTACACCAATCACTGTGCTCAAGAGCCCCATCACACACCTCTGGTCTCTATATCCTCCAGGAAACAAGGGGAAGAATGATTTCAGTGCCAAGTCTGCTTTCAGACCCATCTGTGAAGTCTCCTAGGGTGCTGAAGGTCACTCCGCATGTCACACTGACATGCTTGCAGACTTCACAGAATGCTCAAAGTTAATATGTTTTATGCCCATGAACTCATTTGATCCTGGGAAACAAATTAGTGGATTCCTGCTTTACAGACAAGTCAACAGAGGCTAAGAGAGCAGAAATGCTCTTTTCATCCTTGACATATTAATACAGGAAAATCATACAGGTTAGAGGATTGAAGCACAGGAGGGAACTTCTCAATGTCCAGCCTCTCCCTCTAGGGAAGCAGCCTCGGCTGAACTGATTAGCTAATCCTACATTTAAATCCTGTGGACTACATTAAGAGAAAAATATCCATATAACATTCTGCATATAAAGTTGTAAATAAAACCTCAAAGTACATTTAGGTTAACTTTTCCACTTGGTGATTGGTTTTTTTTTTCCCTTAGAGAATAAGTCCATTGTCTCCTGGCATCAATCAAGGGTGTTGAACAGTTGGTCTAGTTAGCTAGAAATCTGTCTTCAGTCTTCTCAAGTGACCCAACCAGATGGATATCTGACACAGTCAGGAGCGTTCCAGAAACCCTACGTAACACTGTCAGAAGAAATTTATTTTTAGGACTCGAAGTTAGTCCTTGGTGTACGTTAAGACATATTTGACCAGGAGCCATCTGGTGATGTTAATGTAAGTTTTGACTAGAGTCTGCCTTATTCTTCATGGTGTCTTCTAGGTTACGGTTGTGCCCAGAAGGTAGGTGCTCAAGAAAACTAGTGAATGCTATTGTATTTTTGATATGCCTGTGGGACTCATACTTACTTGTTTTGACTCTTGTGTACATAATAAAGGGTAAGGTAGTTTTTATCATTTGCCATAGTTAGCATGAAAACTAGCTTTTTTTTTTTGAGAGCATTCATGAAAATACCAGCTTTAAATTTTTTTTTTTTTTAGCCAAGGCATTAAAGTCGTGTTTGGGGAAACCGATCAGGGATTTCTCCTCTGAGAGGTTTACACTGTTTTCTGTGGCTTTGGGTTTTATTCAAGACTCCTGCACTGAAGAAAATGCTTCATAATTGAATTGAACGACAACTGGGCCCACTGGTGTAGTAGAAAGGTGTGGATATGTTTTGAGTAGATCTCATCCTTTCATTTGGTGACCAGTGTTTAAAAGTTTAGAAACTCATCACTTCTAAGCAACTACAATAGTATGTCTGCTTTCTTCTGCCTTTTTCCAGTTAGTATTCTCATCAGTAATGCATTTAAAGTGTGAACTCTTGGGCCCTAAATTTCATAGCTAAACCACTATCTCTCTGGAATGCTCCAAGAAAACCCCGGCTATAATTATATATAAGTGAGGAAAAGTAGGTACTAGGAGGAAAGGACCTTCACACAATGATGTCTGCCTTGCCCCTATAGCAAGAAGGCTCCGAAGAAGGTCTTGTCTTCTTTTGTGTAATCCACCAAAGAGATGTCACTGACGTTTACCATCAGCTTGTCCCCTTCTTGCAAGGAGAACATGGCCCCTAGGTAGATGGGTTGGAACCAGTTGCTACCTCTTTCACACACTGTCTTGGTCCCCATTAGGAGCTGGGTGGGGTCAGGGTAGCTGTCCGTTACCTTGGTGATGACTACGATGATGACGTCTGGTCTGTTCAGTCTGTGCCCTTGGCTGATCTCACCACACTTAGATGTGGTGCCTCGGAATGTGACCTGGGAGTAAACGAAGTAGTCTCCCGACTCTGGGATCACAAGGAATTTATTGGTGTAGTTCATTCGGTTCTTAGTGAAGGCCAAGCCAAGTTCATGTTCCCAGTGCAGAGCTGGAAATTGATTTTTTAAAGGCTGTGTGGGAGTTTGTCTCACAACTGCAAAGACAAGAGAGAGATTTATTTTGTTTGTGTTAGAACCTGCGGACTTTGCAAAGAGTGTCTCATATCATTTTTAAAGAGTAAAGTGATGAACTAAAACCCATAGCTAACAAGCTGTTGGAGGAGGAACGAGTGTGGATGTGTGTGTGGATAATTATTCAGAGAGTAACATCTTAGGCTGGTGACCTGAGGCAACTTACTTTGCCACTCTGAGCCTGAGTTTTCTTACTTGACAATTAAAAATTTTACCTGATCCCTGTGATCCTGGAAAACAATGAAAGTTAAGAAATCTCCTCACTCTTCCGTTTTGTAAAACGGCTTACTATCAAAAAGTACTCTTCCCCAAATGACTTAGATAAGATTGGGGAATCCCACCCCTTCCCTCCTTGTTTACCTAGGACAAGTCCAGACATCAAACCCTCCACTTTCCCATTCTTTGCCTCATAAATGATTAACCAAACTCTTTTATCCTTACTAATTCATCAAAACAAAATGCTCGTTAACCAAACTGATGAAGCTTCTCTCCTTCCTCCAGGACCCCCAAACTTTGGCCCACCCTCAGCCTGAGCCAGTATAGTCTCTCCCAATAATAGGCTGGCCTCTAAAATATCCTCTGCTCCTATCATGACAACCTTTCTCCCTGCATCCCTACACTTGGTTCTTTCTAGCTTTGTGTACTCCTCTCTATAAAAGAAAAATCCTTTTAGCCTAACTCTTGAGACATTTGCAGACTTTATGATTAGGGGCTCTCCCTATTGAAATTGACCTCTCCATTCTGCAATAGTCCCTTCCCTACCCCTCTTCCCCATCCTGCAATAATCCTTTTGCATAAACTCTCACCTTACTCTGTCAGGATTTGTTTTTTATTTGACGTTCCTTCCTTTTTTTTTTTTAATTTTTATTTTTAAAAAAGGAGATAATAATATCTGTGGAAAGGATTAGAAGACATGGTATGTATAAAATCCCTATTTATTAGGAATATTCTCTAAACTACATTCACTTTTACTAGGCTTTTTGCTTCAGACATGCTGTGCTACAAAGAGAGGGCATTTCATAGAGAGTCAGGTGTTTCTTGTCACTCCCTTTTAACATCGTGGTCCAAGACCACATGAAACCCAGGCAGTAATTAATAAAAAATCAACGTGCAGGGTAAATATTGGAACCAGAGATCCAGAACATTTTTGAAATCTTTCTTCCACATTGACAGGGACTAAATATAAGCCAATGTAATTGACTCGTGGAGTAACAGGGAACAGGGCTCTCAGCAACTAAGGCCCTGTTCCAATTCTGACTCTACAACATGTTGGGTTATTAATCAGCTTCTCCTCTTTGTCTCAATTTTCTGTCTGTGAACTGGAAATAAATCTCCCTCACAGTACTGTTCTGAAGATCATGTTAATGAAAAAGACATGGATATTTTTATCATGATAGCCGGATACAACATTACTTAATACATATTTATTTTCTTTCCTCAATTAAATTAGCATCTTTCATTTTGACAGATTAAAAAAAAGCCTAATTTATTTTATATATATTTATATTTTCTTATGTTTTCATTATTTACACATATGCATTTTATAGAACACATGAATGCATGCTTTCATGAAGTATGTCTATAGCACGAAAATGAATAGAATCAAACCATTATTTTAAATAAGATAATCTGCAATAAAACTAATAATTTTCAGGAAAAATGAAAACACTTTTTTAATGCTGCAACTGCTTTTGAAATCCATAGTAATACCATTGTGTCCTATCGGTCACAGTTTGGGGACAGGTTATGTTTCAAGAAGCACTTAGTTACACCTGGTGGTTGACCAGAAACTTGATTCCTGGATTTTTCTAAATCATCTTTCCCATTGCCAACTGGATTATTGTTTCTTTTGCAGCTACAACACATGTTCAGAATGTGTGTGGTCTTCTCTAGCCCCTGTACTAAGTGGCCTCTGGAGAGCTCTGTTGCTTCTTTGTAAAATCTGTGAAAGGCATTGTTATTAGTCACCCGTGATAGTCTCTACTTCTTCTTTATTGGTGATGCAGTAGATGAAAAAAGAAAAACTCTTCCCACATGATACAAAAGCAAAAGTCATTTAGTCTCTAGATAAAGCAAGTTCTGTTAAATTGGCTTGCAATAAGCTGTGTCAACACAGCAGCAAGTAGGAGTTTGGGTAGGAAGTGTGTTGTGATGGAAACAGTGTAGTTGTGAGAGTCAAGCTCAGATCTCACTCTTCTTAGTCATGTGACTTGGAACAAGTGAATTTAGCAGCCCAAGTCTCATTTTCCTCATGTCATTTGGCTTATATGCAGATTAAATGAACCATAGATGTAAAATGTCTACCACAGTGTCTGGTACATATTAGGAGTTCAATAGAACCTGGATTCCCTTATCAATTTCTACTCCTCCCGTTTAATAGAAAATCAGTCTCTCCTATTCTTATAGGCAAGTGGTAAGTGATGGTGACTTGACATATCTCTGGTCCTAATTCTCACGCAAAACTCCCCACAAACAGCTTCCTCTGGATTAAATGTTAAGACAAATGTCTTGTCCAAGGATATCTCCCTGTGGGTTGCAAATTTTCTTATAGCTCAGGAGAGTATGCTTGCTTTTTTAACTCTAGTTTTCCAATGGGGTTTTAACATCTTTCTGCATTGTTTTGCTCATCCTTCGGGAGTCTTAGAGGTATGTACAACTCCAGATATGAGATGACAAAATTTCAACACTAGATTTGGGGAGCTGGCCAATTGGTGATATTATGAGATTGCTCTCAATTTCTTCATGTCAGTGGAAATTCTTTGGAAATACCTGCCTGAATGTAAATGTCCAATAACTTCATTTTGAGTAGGATACGGATGGACTCTATAAATTGGCAACTTGGGATTGTTCATTTTTGATCAGATTTTGAATTACGTGAATCTCAGAGTCTAAGGAAAGCCATTTCTGAGTGACTGAGTGTATTAACGAAAGAGAGAAACAGTAGTGAAAGGTAGGCGGCTGACAGAATCTGAAAGAAAATACCCAAGAAACCTGGGCGTTTGGATCCCTCAAAGAAGGAAGATATCTGAAAACCCTTAGCTGAGGAGAGGAGTTTCTTATCAAAGGGTGTGGTTTCCAGTTTGAAGCTACTAGAGTAAGTTTTGGCAAACATGCTGAAAGAAAACTCAGGCCCATGACCCATGGTCTCCTGGAAAACACTCTAAGGAGAATTACCTGTCAGATGTGCCCTTGGCTTATCACCACCAGCACCAGGAGGTACGTCTGTAATGAAGGAGAAAAAGCTTTCTATGAGTAAGAGGGTGACTGGAGTGAAGATAACATTTGAGGCATTGAATAAGTCTTGGCCCCATGACTTTGGACAGGTTATCTAACCTGAGACTCTTCTTTTGTTATTTCTAAGATGGGCGCATCAATTCCTACCATGGATGGAGAGTGCTTAGGATGTATCCTGGCATGTCGTCAGTGCTCAGTAAAGCTCATCTTGCCTTTGCTTTCCTCCTGTGGGAACTAACTGGCCTTTTGCCATCTCATCGGTCCTTTAACTATACCCACTGAGGCAGCTAGATGACCTGGACAAACGGGGTAGAAACTACTTTATAGCTATATGACCTTGATAGGTCCCTTTTCCTTTCTGGTTCTCTGTTTCTCTATCAGTTCTCCAGAAATCCTCAGAATTTCCCTTTGGTTCTTAGAGATGATTATATTGGATGAGTGTGTTCTAACTGCAGAGATAAAGATGATGTTGATGATAAAAAGGAAAAATCATTGCATACTTTTGAATTGCTAGGCATTGTTCTAATACCTTTATAGGAATTAACTGATTTAATCTAAATGACCCCTGGGAGGCAGTTACTGTTATAACCATTTTTCTAGGTGAGTAAACTGAGACAGAGACCCAGGAAATTATTTTCCCAAAGGTCATCAATTCCACAGGCCATGCACTTGGCCATGGCACCATTTTACCTTCTTAGCAGCTAAGCAGGCCCCTCACTTCTCCTCTGGGTTTGCATTCCTCTGAACTGCCTACATACCAGAACTACTAGATATATTCTTGTTCCCCATAAAAAAGGCATCAAATAAGAACATACTTACAAGCTCGCTGATGTGAAGGTCCAAACTCCTGTCCTTTTGGAGTCTATTGGGAAAGAAAGATATGGTTTAGACCATCTTTTGACCCCAACACCCACACAGCTGCCCGCAGTATGGATATAATTCAGATGCTGCTGCTACCTAGCCTGGGTACTCTGGAATGAGGGAAATGCGAATGAAAATATTTGTTGGTGGATGGGAATCCTGCACCAAGCTCTCCCCTTTCCTCCTGCAGCACCCCGGTGACCTTTTCCTCTGTTACGCTTGTCTCTTAAGCTCAGCTTTAAGTTTCTGTCCTGAGAGCTTTTCCTGTTCCATTCTAGGGCACTCCAACATCTTGTCATTGCTCCTATTATTTGAACAAACAGTGGCCCTTGCTTTATTTTATTTTTTTCACCACAGTTTAAAAATTGGAACTATTGTTTAGAAAATGATATAAAAAAGAAGTGATGACTATATTCTCCTTCTCATCAGCCTCTACAATCCTTCCTTGTTTCCTTGCAATACATGATGAGTTTTTCTTCATTGCAATCCTAGTTTGTGAGCCATTTCAGATACACATGGGAATGAAAAAAATAACAGCTTTGGAGGGAGTCAGACCTGGACTTGAATCCATTCCACCATTTATTAACAATATGATCTTGAGCAAGACACTTTTCTCCTCTGAGCTTTGGTGTCCTTGTTTATTAAATAGGAATAATAACATCTGTAGCCCTAGATAACTCCCAGGTTTGAGATAAAGATCAACTCAGAATATGTGAGTCAGTACAGAGAATGTATGGAAACTGAAGGAACCATGATATACATGCCTGAATAGAAAGCTCAGGAGTAACACTAAGCTCTTAGCTTAGGAATAAAATCACCATTTTACACTTTACAGTATTTCCAAATAACCTTCTCTGAAATGATTTTGACTCAACTGAGTCCTCTGATTTGGTTCTCATAACTGCTCAGTCCCCACAGTGATCCTCGCCGTCACCATGGACACTTGATCAGTTTTACATCTTAAAACCCATAGATGTGTGTGTGAGTGTGCTTGTGAATGAGCAATTGTGTGTCTGTGTGACTTTAAGAGAAGACAGTGCATCTGTGTATATACATGTGTCTGTGATGTGGTGGTGTGTGCACAGATGTCTCTATGTGCATATGTGTGGCCATGTGGATGTGGTTGTGCCATTTCCAAGTCTAGGTCTACGAACAGTTCTGTGATAACAGTGATTTTGTTAGAACCCACACAGTCAGGCTCTTTTTACATCCAAGCCACATTACCTAACCTAACCTAAGCTCTCTTGAGGGCAAAGATCTTGTCTTTGATTGATGAACTGACTTCATAGTCTCTCCAGTTCCCTTTTCTTTGCTTCCTAATTCTGTTAATGGTGCCACTACTGCTTCCCCTCAGTTACCAGGCTTAAATTTGCTTTTCTTCTTTCATAAACCTAAACTGTCATTTCTATTTTGCAGTTTTGTCTTTTGTGCCACCACTCTAGGTCTCAGCATGCTGCTCTGCTGGATGCTCCAAGAATCTCCTAAGAGATCTCTTCTGCATCGATTCTCTCCTTTTCTCTAATCCATCTCTTTTTCTAAAGCGTCACTTTATTGAGACATTTATCTTGGCATTCAAAGTCCTAATTTAACATCCCCATCCCAGAGGTGGGGGCATCAGGAGAAATTACTTCTGAACTGAGTTTTACAAGTCCCATAGGTATTAGCCAGGTGATTAAAGGTAATGGCCATTTTTCAGAAAAGTCTAACAACTTGTGCAAGAGTAAGGAGGCCTAATTGAGTGTGGGAGCAGTTGGGAAATTGCAAAGATTTCTGCTGCCAGATAACTATATTACATATATTTAGCATAGGGTCATGAGTACAGTGGTCTTTGAAAAGCTAAACCCAATTGATGTGACTACTTGTCCAGCATCGATAACTTTGATGGGTTTGGAGGGAGGAGAAGGAGCCTAGAAATGAACTTACTTAACAAAGTATCCTGTTTCCTTACTTGCCAGTGGCAGAGCTGATGAAGAATTGGTCCTTTGGTAAGGCAGAAAGCTGAAGGTGGGGTTCTCAAAGAAAATAGGGAAGGGGGAGTTTGGTTACATCCCCTTGTGTAGAGAATGGTACCTTCCTTGGTTGGCCTTCTCTGCTTTACTCATTCTGCTGAGAAATCTTAACCATTCTGCTTATTTTTGGTGAAGAAGACACTCAGCTAAGAGTTTAGAGTGCTCCTTTTGGCT